GCAGAATTCCCGCAGGTTATTGTCTTTGTAGATGTACTCATGTTCCCCAGTGCCCGTTTCAGATGCCACACGTGACACGGAAGGACGATCCAGCACAAAAGCATGGTATAACCTTCCACAGACCTCTGCTCACCTCCGTACGGACCGTGAGGGCAGTAATTAAAGACACAAACTGAACTCTTTAAAAAAACATAAAATCTTCTCTTTCTAGCTTTTTCCAGTATTTTCCCCTGAGGAATGAGTTAACAATAACGTGCTGCATAGAAGAACAACGACAACAAATACATTTGCCAACTGTACATGGTAATAAGCTCATGGAAGGAAGTTTATACCCAGTAGACTGAGACATTATTGACAGCCGGATCTCAACATGATTTTAAAATTATCTCAGGACAGGCGTCCCGTAACACTGGGAAGTAGTAGGTAACCACCTCACCTTTTGAAAGAAGGCATTTTTCGTTTGAAATTTTTGACTTTACAGTTGATTTATTTGGGTCTTTTCGCTGACAGATTTTGAGCACTTGCAATCAAAATGCAGGAAAACACATGTAATTTCCAGCGAAGCAATAATTACAGCTTAAGTGAACTTCCTGCACTCCGCGATGGCTTCTTCTCTCGCTACGAGAACACACTTCCCAAACCAACAGTCGTAATGTTAAGTTAAATGTTAATAAGCATTCTAAACGGCATAATTTATGCTAATATAGGAAGTGTTTTGCCTAGACTGGAACCGGTGGGGCTGTTTTACCTCTCAAACTGTTACACTTCTACATGAGTCGCTTGCGATTCAGCACAGCACGTGTGTCAAACTGCTCTAAAATGGTGCGCGGGTACATATCCATTTCCACAGGCTGTTTAATATCCTGCTATATATATTATTATTTTTTTTTTTAGTAGGGATGTTTTTTTTAGTTCATTTTCTGGGTTCTCCACTGTCGGTGCAGTGATTCGTCATTGCTCGTAGGAATGATGGAGAAAGAAAACTCGATTTAAATTGGGATTAGAGCGCTGAGGAAATGTAAGCACAGCCATAGGAAAACAAGGCCAGAGAATAAATATAAAACTTGGAAGAGCAGCCAACAACAGCAGCACACACACAAAAAAACGCCTTATCTATAGGAAAACAGTGTCACATTTGTTTTTGTCCCCGCTTTCTCTTTGGGAAGGACTCCCTCAAATGTTGATGACACCATATATTCCCCTCTGATGCAAACTGGCAGAAGGCCATGGCTTTCAACAACAGCAGAACAAACATCTTTTCAAGCATCTGTGAAGCAGATAGACCTCCTGGTCTGGATATGTGTGAGTGACCGATGATGCTTGTTCTTGGTGATAATGAGGACAATTAGAGGCTCCAAGCTTTTTTTATGCAATGTGAGGTGAGTCACCCAAAGAACGTGGGGGCACGCAACCGGGCATTGCTCACTGGGAGGACACCTCTGTTGTGACAAAGCGCAAGGCAGCACACACACCACCTTTGGGGACCAAGCAGATATTGCCCCAAAAAGCCTTTTCAGGGGCGTTTTTTAGGAATCGTTTGACAAACAAAAAGATTCAAACACCATTTGGGTTTCTTGTGCTTTAAAGGAGAAAAAACATCTGAAAAATGGAAATGGGAGAGTCTATCAAGGAGGCTAAATATCAGGAGAAGGTTTTCATATGGGCAGCTTATGGAAATCTGCCTTGAGCTCCAACTCGGAGGAAGCTTCATAAAAATAATTTGCAAATAATGCAAATTAAACATAAGGTGTCAGCGAAGAAAGCGTGGTCTCATCACTGCATCTGTAGCATTAATGTGCTATGGCCAACATTCGTCCATTTAGTTCTCCAGCTCCGCAAGAGAGTTTGGGCTGCAAACACAGAAGTTCAACAGCATCAGAGCCAAACTGGGCAATGAAAAGCTGAGTGGATGGCCAAAACAATATGGATTCAACCCAAACCAGCAACATTTCACCACCCATAAAATCTCTGCAAGTTTGGGAGAGCAGACAGGGAATTTGGGTAGCAATGCACCCGAGATGGTTAACCTGGGTTCTGAAAAACCATGCATCAACGTGCAGCTGTCACAAGACGGCGTAAGGGAATGGAAACCGTTTGGCTAAAAGCAACAGGAGATGGAAGGGAGTCAGTGTCCCCACTCAGTCTCACAAAGGGGTCAGCATGTGTCCTCCACACACTGGTCCAGAGCCAGCTTGGGTAGATGTGAAATGAGTTATTTAATTCAGCAACTTTGCAGCAAAGTGCTAGAGCACAATACCACACACAGTGGAAATTAAAAAAAAAATTAAGTCTGCCATTTGATGGAAAAACCTAATTTACAGTAATTATTCATGTCTGCAGAATACATATGACAAAACCGAGAGAAATTAAAAATCCTATAAATAGCCTCACTGCAGAACAGCTGGTTAGATCCCATACAATACCCAAGTATTTATACCGATCCACACGTTTCTGCATCACCAAGAAGTCGGCAATTGCAACCCTGAAATTCGGTTTAGATCCATGAAAAGTACAAAGGGAGAACGAGAGGAAATTGAAATGTCAGACCAGCTGGACCTCACGCTTCCCATTACCGCCTTAACGCCGAAAGCTGACGATAAAGGAAACCCCTGAATTTCAGCGTTCACCATCACTCAAGCGCTTGGTCTTTTTTTTTTCTTTTTTCACTGGCGTATTCTACATGTGCTACGATTTATTGCTTTGTCACAAGGTGAGGTGAAAGCAAATTGAAAAATGCCTTACCCAGTTTGTGCAGAGGGATGCAGGCAGCCCCCGCCCGGCCCCTGGCAACTCGGTTATGAGCCGGCATGAAGATGTCCACCATCACCACCCATCCTCCCGGGAGAGCTGCTCCAGTCCGGGGCTGTCTCCACGGCTGTAGTCCATGCGTGCACCCTGAGCGTCCTGCATGGAATTTAAATTCATTGAGCAAAACCGCAGGCAATTGATCAATGCGGCATCTCAAAGGACACATTAATAGTAACCAAACCACCAGAAAGGCGTCCTGCACTTACTTTAGGAAAAAAACAAGAGAAACATTTCTTATTGCAAGAAAGGTGGGGCCACGTGGACCATGTGAAGTTCCACAAGGCCAAGTGCAAGGTCCTGCACGTGGGTCAGCACAATCCCCAGCACAAATCCAACCTCAGCAGAGAACGGATGGAGAGCAGCCCTGAGGAGAAGGACCTGGGGGTGTTGGTGGATGAGAAGCTCACCATGAGCCGGCAGTGTGCGCTGGCAGCCCAGCGAGCCCCCCGCACCCCGGGCTGCATCCCCAGCAGCATGGCCAGTGGGGCGAGGGGGGATTCTGCCCCGCTGCTCCGCTCTGGGGAGACCTCCCTGCAGTGCTGCCTCCAGCTGAGGGGGTCCCAAGAGCAGAACCTGTGAATCCCGACACGGAGCTGTGGGGGCGGGGCCAGAGGAGGCCCCGGAGATGCTGGGAGGGCTGGAGCCCCTCTGCTGGGAGGACAGGCTGGGAGAGTTGGGGGGGTTCAGCCTGGAGAAGAGAAGGCGAAAAAGGGGAGACCTCAGAGCCCCTTCCAGTGCCTAAAGGGGTACAGGAGAGCTGGGGAGGGACTCTGGATCAGGGAGGGGAGCGATGGGATGAGGGGTAATGGTTTTAAACTTGAAGAGGGGAGATTTAGATTAGATATTAGGAAAAAAATCTTTACTGTGAGGGTGGTGAGCCCCTGGGGCAGGTTGCCCCGAGAAGCTGTGGCTGCCCCATCCCTGGAGGTGGTCAAGGCCAGGTTGGACGGGGCTTGGAGCAACCTGGGCTGGTGGGAGGTGTCCCTGCCCAGGGCAGGGGGTTGAAACGAGATGATCTTTCAGGTCCCTTCCAACCTAAACCATTCTACGAAAACACAAAGAACTTGAAGACGAGACAGGGAGAAGCTGTACAAGGCTTCGTGTGTTCCCAGTAAGGGCTGAATGGTAGCGGCAATGGAAAGAGCAGCCTGTTTCCCGGTGGGGTGCACTTCTGACAGTTACAGACAATGAACAGCAACATCTCTGTGAAACACAGCAAATGCACGTGTAACATAACAGGTCCAGGAAAAACAATTTCTGCCTTACCTTCCTCTATATTCACCTTGAGGATAAAATTCTTTTTTTCTTCAAAACGTCATCCAAAAAAACATTCCAAAGCCCTGTGCAGGATGGTAACTGCCGGATCAGAATAGGAGGATGACTCCTGTTACACCGTGTACTGTCTAAATCTGGTCTACATGTTTTTAAACATCAAACCAGCTGCAACCTTTACAAATATTTTCTGCTAACTTCAGCTGATTGTGTCAAATATGTATACAAGGAATGACTAGTTTATCCAATGGACCTTTACTAAAAATAGGTAATCGTGAACATCCACCATGGGCCAGCTGGCATCAACACCACCTCGAGCGTCTGGCACAGAATGGTCCTCAAACAGGTGATAAAAATCGATAGGAAAGATGTCTAATGTGAAGCAAGAAGGTGGACACCTCAACCAGTCAATAAAGTGAGAGATTTTAAACATGTGTGTTCAGATGTGTGTGCACGTACACACACACATATGTATGCAGACCCACAGAACTCTTATTCATACATCTTAAACATATACATACGCACTGCGAACTTTTTATCATTTTTCTCTATGAAGTCACAGATTGCAGACACCCATAGTAAAGAAAAATACCTACGTGAAAACTGAATTTTAAAACATTTTTACACTCAGATTTCGTGATACCATCAGAGACATTTCAGTAATCATAAATGTCAATTACAGAAACCAGCTTAAGAACTGACCTTTGCATTGAGCTTCCCATTGAAAATAAATTTGATTAAAAAACAAACAACCTTTGACCAACAAACCTTTTGCGGTTTTGCATGGGACTGATGGGAATTGATGTGTGCACCTGCGAAAATTACCCTCTCGCTCCCAAGCTAAGACTCAGAGAAATGGTATTAAGGGCTTCTCCTTTTTATGTTGGCACTGCAAGTTAACTTTCAGTAAGTAAATTCAAGCTAACTTTCAAGAAGCAAAAATCACTGGCCATTAAACACCTGTTTTTTCATACTATTTTGAAGCTTGACGCCTCTGAAAATCTTCTTTCAAGAAAATTTGTGATGCGCAGCCTTGTGGTATTGCTCTCAAGTCCGAGTGAAAGGACAGCACTTGGGGGGAGGTTAATCCCTGAGCAGCAGCATTTATCTTAAATGGTGAAAACTTGGCCCCTGTGGATCCTGCTAAAGCCCTGGACATGGTCTAGTACAGCAAACATGGAGAGGTCACCTTTCAGCACGCTGCTTGCCTTTGGCGTGCTCCTGGAGCAGAAATATCCATTGGAATGGAGGTCTGAATGGGGACCTTTGGGCGCGGAGGCATCAGGAGAGCTGCAGGAGGAGAAAGCGGCGGCAGCTGGACCAGGTCACGCCAATCCCAACATATCCACATGGCAGCTACTCAAGGCATTGAGGTGGGGAAAGCAAAAGACTGCCCGAGGCCATTAAGGGATGATGGTGAGAAGATGAAGAGCGGAGCAAGAACTGCACAGCGTCCTCACCAGGCAGGTAGACAACAGACATTGAAACCATCGCGTGCTGCCTGATGAATTCCCACAGAAGTAGGACAGACTAAAGGGACATGAGATCACAGTCACCGCCGACTCCCAAAGGGAACCACGGGCACATCCAACGAACCAGCACGTGCTCACCAACCTCGGAGTAAGGCAGGAGATGGGACGCCGGCTTCACAGCAGGCACCTCTTGTCCTCCACGTGACCGCAAGCAACCCCGGACCCGTTCCTTGGGCACGCGTGCCTCCACCCGCGGGAGGACGTGAGCATGACAGAGTCAGTGTAAGCCATACCACTTTGGGTAAAATTAAATAACGTTCTTTTGCTGTATTGTCTCATACCAGGCTCTGCTCCATTGGCTCAGCTTTGTTGCAAATGATGTCACAATAAATGCATATTGTATGGGGATGCTCTGATACCACACCGACGAGTACAGAGGAAGAGAGCATAGCGCAGGAAAAGTAACAGCCTTCGCAGGGTTGTTCGCTGCTTAGAGACTGTAACTGAATTAGTTTCTGGATTTGCTGAAGAGTGTTTTTACAACACTTTGAGGAGGGTAATGATTCATTCTGGCTGGTTTTTATACGAGTTACAGCCTCGAAGCTGTTAGATTGTGAAAACGGTGACAATTTGGGTCTGAAAATGAATCTGAGAGGCCGATTTTCAATTCCCAGTCTCTGCTTGCGTATTTGTAAAAAATATACACGTAGAAGATTAGAGTTTGTACTGCAGGACCCATTTGAAAGCGCGCTTCTTGTCTGAGGAGTCTTGCAGGGCCAAACTATAACACTTGCATGAGCACAGGAATTTGCTACGGACGCGGGAAAACAAACAGATTATCAGAAATACAATTTACAAGCATCCAGTTAAAGGCCCATGTGAAAGCCTCTGCCTACCCTTTAGAAAGTAAATGGAACAGAAAAGAGGAAAACTCACCAGCATCCCAGCGCCATCTCCCGCACAGTAACAAGAGCAGTCTCTAAAGCCATTTTCAATTAAATGAAAGACTTACAGAATTAAAGTTGTAATACGTTATTGATCGTCGATGGAAAGAATATCTGATCGACTGTAGCTAAGAATCCTTCCCAGTTTGTTCCTCTTGAACGGAGAATGTACTAATAACAAAACAAATAGGGAATCACAGGACAGTATCAGACAGTAAATTCTGAGACGCTCTGGTAGCTGATGTTCTCTCCCATGGTAGGAAAAAGTGTGTTCGCTTGATCCAAAGCAACTCAATGGTTTAAGGCAAAATAATGAGAATATATAATTGACCATTTGAGCCCCTAAATATGAGAAGGCCAATCTTTCTGCCTTTGTAACAACGTTTTTGTTTTACTGCTGTGTAAGTCATGCTTCCGCTGCTACTCGCACCACGTAGCAGCTACTTCAGGTAGGAAATATTACCTAAAACTCATCAGTTCTCTGAAGTGTTCTCACCAGTTTTCTGAAGTGTTCAGCAACAGATAACTCATAACTTAAAGATCAGTAAGTTATCATCATGAATATTGACAGCACCCAAAGATGGATGCCTCTAGTGCTGACGTGTGTTTCATCTCAGTACTACATACGTGCAGGAACAAGCAGTTCTACACCAGTACCATGAAAGACGGCAGTTTTATCACGGGCTCCCTCAAAACTGTTCGGAAAAAAAGAAAGTTAGGTGTACACGCAGCCCTCTATAGAGCGCAACAGCTCCTGAAATTTGGCAATGAGGATCAAAACCACCAAGCAAAAGTATTCATTTTCATAGACAAGTTTTTAAAATAATGTTTTATTTTTTTGAGTCAGTGGTATATTTAAAAACAATCTACTGTAAGAGTAAAAAGACTGTAGATAGTAAAAAAAGAAAGAGTGATGACAATAAAAAAATGCTAGAGTATAACGTTAGTTTCCTTCCTCCCTCCCAACACCCCACCCCATCATTGTCCGGTATTTCGCAGAGCCTAATATCTGGAAAAAAAAATGCTTTTTTTTTTTTTTTTTTTACACTTTCAGCAATTAGGAAATTAAAAATACGTAAGGCATTCTTCGCAGGTACATTAATTCATTATTACACGAAAAGCAGGCACCATAAAAATTAAAACATTCTAAAAACCATCATATATACAAACGCTGTACAGAATGATGGCACCAGGACAAAGTGATTCCATTCAGTTCATCCTAATCCTCATGAAATATTACACATGAAAGAAGAAAAGAAGCAGCTCTTCCCGATCTCGTACTCAGCCGCCAGGGTCGGAACGACCAGGGGTCTCCTATCCACCTACGCTGTTTCTTTTCCTCCACGCTCGTGCCCATCAGCAGCTAAAAGGCTCCATCGCTTCACCGCCCGAGCAGCACCCAGAAGAAGGGCCAACTCAATGAAACTGGAAACCACTGACCACCAGCGACCGATTTTACAAAGCCCGTTAGCCATCCGTTTATTTGTAATGCAGACCAATGAAAGGGGAGGCACATTTCACGAATAAACCCCACGATTGATTTTTAGCCCTGGGCAGAACCGGTATTTGGGGAAATCCTACAGCAGCTTCTCCTTACCGTGAAGCCTACTCCAACGTGCACCAAATTCAATGTGAATATCGTCATCCATTCCTATATACACTGAGATTAGGCACAAAATACTCAGCTCATTTTAAACTCCAATACCTACCTAAATGCTTTAGGTACAAAATATTCAACTCTCATTTTAATCTCCAGAGCTACCTATGTGCCTGAAGTTATTCCGGAGAAGCAGGGAGAAGGGTTAGGGAGAGGGTACTGTCAGTTGATGAACGCCTCCCGGTCTCAAGTAGAAATCCAGATTTCTTTCAAGTTAGGGGAGGGAAAACCCCCAGAAAGAGGGGTGACGTAGTGTTGTTTCCGACACACAGCTAGAAATGGATTTCTTACGGAGTTAGAGTCATTGCACTACATGTTAGATACTGCACGCCTGAATGAGGTAAACATTATATACCATAAAATACTTAGGTAAATGAATTGTTACAGCTTTTATCTTTGGAAAAAGCGCTTCCTTCTTCACTGGACAATCCCAGAGTCAACAGATGTTTGCTTCCGAGTTGTCTTTGGAGGCGGAGGCGGGGGAGTCTTGCTGGGCAGCGGAGGCGGCAGGTGCTGGAAGAAACCAATTTTGAAGAGACCGTGTTAGCAGCGAATAGATTTCCGCAACACTCACTCGTTCATACGCAACTGCGCGAGACGGCGGGTGAGTCTGTAGCCCTCTGACTCCTGAAAGCTGCTCCGCAGAATTTGCTCCTACGAATACCAAATGCTCCCTGTCATTAGCTTAAAATACAACTTTTACTTTTGACAATGAAAAAAAAAACAAAAAACCAACAAATCTCTCAAAGGCTCGTGATTAGTTAGCTCAGTATTTCAGGAAAAATCTTTTGAAAGCGCTGGAGAAGTTTATAATTCCCCACTTTATATCATGATAGGATATTGATTTCTTGCTCTGTATCGATTGCCCTCAGCTTCTATGCACTACAGAGCTTAAAAGCCAAGTTGAAGCAACAGCTTCATTGCTTTTCCATTATTTTTGTATTTTTCAAATTTAGAACACAAATAATTAAAAAAACGGGAAACCATTTAAAGAGATAAGTAACTCGCAATTTACTACCATGCATTCAGTTATAATTAAAATATTCAAAACAGAGATCCAGACTGTTCAAATACACATATTTTAAATCACTTCATATATCATAATACAGAGCAAGAACACCCTCAGTTAGACTCACCAGCTAATTGGACAAATTAAAAAAGTCATTATGGAAATTAAGACTTTTTCTTCATAATGTTCAATCATATATATGATAAAATCTGTTGCAGAAAGAGCTTCAGAACACTGCAATTTCATAGAATGATGGAATCGTCTAGGTTGGAAGGGACCTTTAAGATCATTGAGTCCAACCGTTAACCCAACACTGTCGAAACCACCACTAGCCCGTCTACCCATCTTTTCAGTACCTCCAGGGATGGCGGCTCCACCCCTTCCCCAGACAGATTGCTGATTTGCTCACACACTTTGTTCTTCTACCACATTTTGGCCGTGCAGCTGTTAGCTGCCCCATTGCGGCACTGAGGCTGTAACGCGGTGTCACACCTCAAAAATGCTGCTTTGGGTTTGTTTTTTTCCTAAGATTGTTCCCACGCTCAGCCAACCACCGCCTTTCGTTTTCCTCCATGCATAACGATGTTTCTGGGGAAGGACTTTTTACTGGGGCATGTAGTGATAGGACGAGGGGGAATGGCTATAAACTGGAAGAGGGCAGGTTTAGATTAAACATTCGGAAGAAGTTTTTCACTTTGAGGGTGGTGAGGCACTGGAACAGGTTGCCCAGAGAGGTTGTTGAGGCCCCATCCCTGGAGGTGTTCAAGGCCAGGCTGGAGGTGGCCTTGGGCAACCTGGGCTGGTGGGAGGTGTCCCTGCCCGTGGCAGGGGGGGTGGAACTGGATGATCTTCAAGGTCCTTTCCAACCTAAACCATTCTATGATTCTCCATCGCGACTCGAGGTGTCCCAGCGTTCCCATCCCACCTGACCCACCCCGCACTGCTGGCTCCAGGCGCTAACACCGAAAACGCTATGACGCACACCCCACTTTTGCCAAATTTCCTTCACCACCTGCTACAAGACCAGTTCAAACATCTGAAACACATCAGCGTTACCTCGCAGGTACTGCACCTGCAACCTTGATACTCGTATTCCAATTTTTATTAATGCCTTGGACAAAATAACTGATGATTTCTCAATCACAGTAAGGAACTAGTATACAAGCAACTGATAAACCGTGTGGGAGCGGGTACAAAACAAGCCTGTTCCTTTCAAAAGATACCCAAAGCTGCCATCCCAACAGACGCGCGTGTCAGGGCGATGCCGGGACATTTCAGCCTTTCCTCACGGCAGATGCAGCCCAGGAAACCCCTAACTCTCCCGCAATCTAGTGACCGCCAGTTCTCGGAGCTGCGTCAGAGTAGGAGGAAAAAACTATCCTTAAGGCGACCGAGCGCCCTCCCCTTAAGGTAACTGAACTTCTCTCTCCATTTTGCCACTCTCCCAAAGAGCCGACCCAGAGAACCAACCCACCGCCACCGTGGCGCTGCCTGTGCTCCCACCTCCCTCCCTGCCCACAGAACGCCTCGTTACCCAACTCGGGGATCCACCGGGTTTCATCTGCTACTGGATAAGAAACTCTGGACCCAAAGCAAGGCGCTGGAGCCCGGGGGTGGAAACCTGCATCCCCTTCTGCCAGGGGAAACCTCCTGCTCACCGATGAGGACGGGACCGAACGTATTTGACAACGAAGACCTTCATCTTCAAAGGGTGGTTAAAGCTTATCCTAGCTCTTTTTGAAGAAATAACCAAATTAATAAAAGGTTTGAGTCTCGAAAGGGCAGTGCTGCTTGAAACGCGCGCATCAAGCAGCCCCTGCTGGGGAAGCAGCACTCATTTTCCAGCGCAGGCTCAAAACTGCGCACTATTTATTCCTGACTTACTGTGGGATGCAATGATCCCCGCATCAGAAAACCAAGTCAACAGACTCGTAGGAAAAGCAGATAAAATAAGGATTTTATTTTACTAAATGCAAAACTGAAGCTAGGTTTGGTTTTTTGGTGTTTTTTTTTTTTTAAATAAAATGTCACTGCTGATCTGTCTAATTATTACAGTCAGAACCATTAAATAGTTCCTTTACCTGACCAAATGGGGCTTTGAGCAACCTGGGCTGGCGGGAGGTGCCCCTGCCCAGGGCAGGGGGGTTGGAACTCGATGACCTTTAAGGTCCCTTCCAACCTAAACCATTCTACGACTCTATGAAAAACTTTTCTTAACCTGGATTTGAAGTTAGCTCCCGAATCCCCGAATAAGCATCTGACTAAGAGCCGGACTGTCAATGTCATGTAGCCTCACGCATTCAATTGTGATCTGCAGATTTCGAGATCTTTGAAAAACTGCCCGGCTGGCGGGAGGTGCCCCTGCCCAGGGCAGGGGGGTTGGAACTCGATGACCTTTAAGGTCCCTTCCAACCTAAACCATTCTACGACTCTATGAAAAACTTTTCTTAACCTGGATTTGAAGTTAGCTCCCGAATCCCCGAATAAGCATCTGACTAAGAGCCGGACTGTCAATGTCATGTAGCCTCACGCATTCAATTGTGATCTGCAGATTTCGAGATCTTTGAAAAACTGCCCGGTTGCAGGCACGTATCCAGGCAGGAGCTCTGGGCAAACTTTGGGAGATGCTGGTGGGTCTGCAGAACATCAGCGTACAACACGCAACAACTCCTCACGGAGACAACATTAATTTCAAAACTAAATAATCCAGGTGCCCCTTGAAAATACATTACAAAACATAAAAATTTCCTCAGTGCTTTGCTCTCGGATGACATCTTTAACCTCGTATTTATCACTACAAAAAACTAACTCTGCGGATAGTATTATTTGTAAAAATCCATTTTGAATTTAAATAACAAGATATTGGCAATATTTCTCAATCCAATTAGATCAAAGGCATTTCTCAAACAAATGAGCCCTTCATATTGATCAGAGAACAATCAAATTATCCCTGAAAACCTGCTTCTGAAGAACAGATACAATGCGAATACAATGAGAGTAAGCTAAATATATATGCTATAAATAACAAGCACAAAACCTACCAGAGCTTAGATTCTGCAAGCAAATTAGGCAGAAAGAAATAACAGAGATAGGTAGATAATTATTATAATTGAATTTACAATTTCCATTAGAAAGTCGGATAAATTTAGTACATGTTCATTTATATAATAAGCTACCAATGAATATATTAAGAAGGACAAGTAATGCTCATCAGGGCAGCGTTATTGAGAAATTAGCACGACAAAACGTGCCAATATGGAACTGGTGCAACTCCAAATCGAGCCACCGCTGCCGGGGCCAATACGCACTCCCTTTATTCCAGGACGGGAAGAAATTCAAGCACACTTTCCCTCTCCCTTTAATATCGTACTCAGAAAATCATTATTAGGCTTATGAAGTTCATTTTGCCACGCTTCCCCTTAAACTTTGAAATACAAAATAGAGTTTCCCTTGATTCTACATTTCATTAAGAACTGCTTTGCAGAATTCGCATTTGTATTTCAGCGGTTAATTGTGAACCTGCCGAATCTTGAAGCATGTTTTTACTTTCTGACATAATGATAGAGACTGCTGGTTCACATTCAGACCTATTTTGGGCAGAATCCTTGACTCACGGGTACCTCAGGGGAAGCAGAAACCTTATGTAAAAGGCACATCTGCAACACAGAAGCAATCTGTTCCTTCTGCTTCAAACATGAAATTGCTCCCATTTGTTTGTTTTTTCCTGATACAGAAAAGAATGAGGCTTAAAAACATTTGTCTCCATTCTCTTAGAGATATAAAATACACTATACTGTACACATTCAGGA